TTCATCATCAACATCTTCATCATCATCTTCATCAACGTGCTTCAAGTGAAACGTCATCAGCTTCACAAATGTGACAACGAGCTGCCAGGAACAAGAAGAAGGAAAGAAGCTGAGGAGTGAGAATGACTCTCAGCGCCAGAGGAGTGAGATATCTAATCCGTCACCAGCTCCACGTTCTCATCGTCCTCCACTTCCGCCTCGTCGTCCTCGTCTTCGTCCGCGGCCTCCGTCTCCTCGTCCTCCATCAGGTCCTGGGCGCTCGCCCCCGTCCCTGAAGGAGCGACGCTGCATTAAAGGAACCTCCGTAGAGACGCATCACGCAGGAGGGGGTTTGAATCTCTGGAGTGGGGATGGGGAGATTCACCGGTTCGATGCGTCGGCGTAAAAGCTCACGATGCGTCGGCCCGGATCAACAAAGTGTGCACCGGATACCTTGTGGGATGAATCGCGGTGCATCGTTTCTAACATTTTTGCATCGGTATAATCCGATGTATTTATACAGAATCGCGTGGAGGCGAACACCATTTAATATTTAGAAATGCGTCCAATGATTTGTGACCAATCGTTTCATACTTGGATAGACGCCTCCTCTCTGTTTCTAAGCGCGCTCGTCTCCTCTGCTGTCAGTGGGCGATTCTCGTGAAGTCTGGAGTTGGAGGAGAGCGCGTGGGAGAGCGTTACCATGGCGGATGGAGAGGTAGACGTCCCGAAAACTTGCAATGAATCCAAGGTTTGGCAACACTTTGGATTTCCAAAGAAAGACGGGAAAGTGGATAAAATAAAATACGCCGCGCTGCCATAAAGTACAGCTGATTTAGGGACGCACCTGAAGAGGCGACGCGCTGAGACGTCTGCCTCCTCCTCAGATTCAGGTGTGGCTACAGTGGCGAGCTCTACCAGTACACCTGCCAAGCACACTGAGAAACGTATCGCCACTTTCTTTCATGCCGCTGGCTACCGACTCAGCTCGATCACAGGCAATAAGCGCAGCCGTTGCCTTATTTATCTGTAAAGATATACAGCCTCACAGTGCTGGTGAAAACGAGGGCTTCCAATACCTCCTCAACATACTGGAGCCGAGGTTCCACATTCCAGGTAGAAACAAATCCCTCGTCTGTACGAGAAAGTAAAACGAGGAAAGAAGCGTTGAGTTGCAATAACAGCTGATGGTTGGACGTCTTGCGCCACTGACTCGCACGTCACCGAGCACGTTTCATTTGTGTGAAGATGTGAAGATGTTTCCCGTGGATTAAGTTTGATGACGGTTGTTCCATTCGTGAGTAGTTTGGAATAAATGGTCGACAGTATGAGCACATGCCCAAAAAGGACGTCAGCTGTTTTTTGGTGTTGGGTTTCGGTATTGATACGATCGCGTGTCACTTCCCTGTTTTGGAGAGGCAGCAGTAGTCGTCCCTTCACACGTGAGCTCTCCATCATCTGTTTTCTCTCCATCATTCACATCCCGTTTCCCATTGTGCCAGACGTGTCTGGGTTTCCTCCATTATTTCCAGGTCTTTCACTTTGACCTTATTACCACTTTTAAATCCTTTAACCTTCCAAATCCCCTCTTAACGTTTTAAGTTTAGCGGCACTCAACGAGCCGTTTTCTGGAAACCCAAACTCTTTTGTCCAGTATGGGCGACACTCTGTACATGTTCTCCCGTATTTCTGCTGCATCATTGGCACAATCGGACCCGACGGTTCCGTGTGTTTGGCGGACTGGCCACCCATCTTTTACTGGTGGACCCTACCGGTTTACTTATTACAATACAGCCGTCAGCGTGAGGCGGAGTTTCTTTACTCAAGGAAAAACTTTGCAAAAACTCACGCTCGGATTTTGCCACGATCTTGTTCTAAAGGTGATTCAGTAGAACTCACGTCTGGTTAACAAGAACAGTGATATCGTTTTACCTGCTTCAGCAGGAAATTCACGTATAGGCTATTTCCACGGGTCACGTTTGGTCAACAGCAACGGTCTTATTTTACCCGGGTAGTCAAGCGATCTGCGTTACGATCTCGGAGAATTTCCGAGTGAAATCTCTATCGTACACGATCCGATCTACCTTCACATAAAATGATGCATTAGAAATATCCCGGAATCATGTACTCAAAAAAATAAATAATTCCCCGAACTATCACAACCACTTGATCAGTCATCTGTCTCTATGTTCAACTCTTACTGTGACTTTATTATCGGAATTTCAACTTCTTACCAGAGTTTGTAGAAATTAATTCTTTTTCGCTGGATACACGTGACGTCGATCAGGACTCCTCTGGTTTCCGCCGGTCCTTTCTCTCTTGTCTAAGGAGGTATGAGGCAGGATCATCAGCTGGTGATCCTGGAAAAGGCCTTTTTCCCCGGACGGTCCCCTGGAGCCCGACGGACGGTCAGTGAATCCTGTTCGTGACGCCAAATTGTTGTGGAATATGTCAATAAAAGCTCGGTAGAAGAGAATGATTTGTCTGATAAAACAGAGTCTTGATGGATGATCAAAGTTGCAAAAAGTCCATTTATTGCTTGCAAGCCGGAGGTCAAATACACAGGCACGTATCACGGTGCTCGGTGGAGATGACGTCTCCGAGCAGTAAGAACGCTGAGTTTTTATACACATGTGAAGGACATTCTCCGTGCCAGTTACGAGAAGCTGCAGGTTGAGATAAGAACCCAGGAGCTTGAGATCCCTCCTCCCTCCCAGGTCGTGACCCGGAAGTCCAAAGAGACCGCTGGGAGCCTGGCCGGCAGAAAACAAACAAACAACGCTATGGTAATGGTAAATGGTAAGTGGACTGTACTTGTATGGCGCTTTTCTAGTCTTCTGACCACTCAAAGCGCTTTAACACCACATGACATCATTCACCCATTGACACCCTGATGACAGGAGAACCACACACGGTGACACCTGCCCATCAGTCACTACCATCCACACACTGTAGTCGCAGCTACTGGAGCCATGTTGGGTTTAAGTGTCTTGCCCAAGGACACAAACGACATGCGGGTAGCAGAGCCTGGGATCGAACCGACAACCCTCTGATTGGAGGACGACCTGCTTCCCACTGACCCACAGTCGCCCCCAATGGACGACACAAGAGTCCCTAGTAGAGCACAACGGCGTAGATTCGGGTGTTCGGTTGCCAACTACCATGGGTAAGTTCATTTCAGTTGCATCACACTAAAACAAGTGCTAGGTACCAGATGCTAGCTGATGCTGTTTGTGAGACGTGTTAGCAGTGCTAATATGTGTTGAAACATGTGTACCTTCACATAACTTGCGAGGAATTAAATCGACGATGAAAACAATGCAACAATGATGAAACGTAAGGCTAACCCGGGTCCCACTTGATAACCGTAGCTTTCATAGCTAACATGGGTGCCACTTGCTAGCTAGCCCTTAGCCTTTGAGAAACGTGTAGATCTTCCCACTAACCTGCAAGGAATTCAATTTAGAATGAAAGTTACAAACGTAATAAAGTGTACATTACATAAACTGTACTTTCTACATTTGTTTTTGCACTATAGTTGAGTTTTTATGTTTCTTTGTCCATTTTTATGTGCAGGTAATTTCTTTGTGCACGTTATTACGCACGTATTTGCTGTAAAGCACTTTGAGCTGCATTCTTTTGCATGAAAGGTGCTCTATAAATAACGTTTTATTATTATTTGTGCTGTACCATCTTATAGATACTACAATGGACCCGGAAGAGACGCTGCTCGGAGGCTCATCTGGAACCTCCTCACCTACGTCAACCTTCTGCTCCACTGCGTGCTACCTCCTCCGTTAGGTCGACTCTAGCTGCTCTCCACCACCTTCTGCTCCACTGCGTGCTACCTCCTCCGTTAGGTCGACTCTAGCTGCTCTCCACCACCTTCTACTCCACTGCGTGCTACCTCCTCCGTTAGGTCGACTCTAGCTGCTCTCCACCACCTTCTACTCCACTGCGTGCTACCTCCTCCGTTAGGTCGACTCTAGCTGCTCTCCACCACCTTCTACTCCACTGCGTGCTACCTCCTCCGTTAGGTCGACTCTAGCTGCTCTCCACCACCTTCTACTCCACTGCGTGCTACCTCCTCCGTTAGGTCGACTCTAGCTGCTCTCCACCACCTTCTACTCCACTGCGTGCTACAATCACCGATGATCTACCTGGTAAGTTCTGCAATATTATAACTGCATCAACATATGGGCATCACAAAGAATCTTCATGCCATGCTGTCACTCATCCTGTGTAGTCTAACAAACAGCTGATGTCGAGATGGTTACTACCACATGCCTAATCGGTAGGGATACGACTGACTTTATAGCTGCCGTTTCTTAAAGGAACGAGGACCCAGCAAACAAGGCCAGTGAGAGACGTCCATGTGCTGGTAAACCAGATGCAAGTCATGACTCGACAATGGAAGGAGGACATGGCAAGAAGTGAGGCCCGGGAGGAACGGTTGATCGCCAGCATCCTCCACACTGACAGTACGGTTGAGAAGCTGATGCAGAGAATGGAGAACATTCAACCTCAACCAACCACATTCTCACCACCACCACAACATCAACCACCGCAAGACGCCTATTATGGTTATGGATGCTTACTTATTTACACTAGCGCCTGAAAAGCACAATTTATACACTCTACCTCAGTGTGTGTGTGTGTATATAAATATTTTCTGTGACACTCAAGGTTTTACCTTTTATACTTGTGTGCTCTTATACCTCGTTTTACTTTTCTTAATATTTCGTATAAATAAAACACTTAACTAAAACTTCTGTGAGTTTCTTTATTTGTGGAATGAAACACACATGAACTGTACAAGAATTGTGTTTACAAACCTATGACCAGCTGGCAGTTGTGTCCTGAAGACGTCTAAAGGTCTGCGCGGGGCAGGTTTGCACTCAGGTAATCTGAGGGCGGCTCTGATCCTCTGTCCACGGTTGTTGGCACGACCACCTGGCTGTGGCAGGTTCGATGCCAGTGTGGCCGCTTCCACTGACCAGTTGGGATCCACAGCTTCCAAACAGGAAGTGAGCGATTTCTCTCGGTTCCTGGGAGGAGAAACAGAAATGGTTTCCAGTGTTGGACCTGCTTACTAAATGGCCCAGCATAAATAAAACAATATATACATAAAAGCACAATAAAGCCTCTATAAAACATCATTCTACTTTAAGCTGGTAACATCTCAATAGCTTGGTGGGAGCTCCACTAGTTTCTGCATGAATAACTTTCAGTGGCTCGACTCATTTATTGATCTCATTGATTTGATCCACACATTAATACGTCTTCAGAGTACGACTTACTTCTGCTAACAGGCGTGTCTGGCTGAGCACGTTAGCGTCATGAGCTCACCCAGGCATCTTACAGCTGATGCTCCACAAGCTGAAAGAGAACAAGTCGTCAGCTTCTAATGGCACACACGACACACTAACACACACGTGAACATACGTAGGCGACACAGGACACACAAACACGCACACGCAGGCCTGAGGTCGCGGTGAATTGAACGGATCAGTAAGCGTTCACGTTGCACAGCGCAGACAACTAAACGTATTTGGCCCAAACTTAGCGATACGCGTCGTGCACTACGCCTTGGAGGACAGCGGCATCGGTGCTCGAACAGTCACCTCCGCGGGCTTCATGACTCCTTCCATAATTCCACACAACTTGTGGAAAGATCCTCGAGTCGTGCGAAAGTTCGCTTTCCAGTCGTCGTCATCCGATACGGTGAAAACAGAAGACTTTGTTTCTGCTCTTCATCCAGAGCTCTTCCAGACCTTTGCGGTACAATGGCAGAGTTCAACAATATATTGTTGGTCAGAATTAAATTCTCCATGTACCTTCGGCGACGGCGTCTTCTCTCCGTTATCGAATCAGCCAATAGCGCCATTCGCATTCGCCGCGCTCCTGTTAGCATCACGCACACATAGTCGAGGGACGTAGCTTCACCTCGCTCTCCGCTCGCCGTCTTTCTCCTGACGTTGATGTTGTTGTTGTTGTTGTTGGTCGTGGTGAAGAGGTCAAGCGGAAATGGCTGCATCACAACTAGTTGTAATGAAAACAGCGCCACCTATCGTACCGGACATGACGTGTTCTCAGCCAATGATTCCATTTATTCACTGCCGTGAATATTGAGATAACAGCACCTCCCCCCGAAAGATTACAATGATACCATCATGGACACACACACACACACACACACTGACACACAGAGACACACACACACACTGACACACAGGAGAGGAGGAAGGCGTAACTACCAAAGACCACTGGATGATTATGAACCTGTGTGCGAAGGCACCAGCTTGCTAGCACAATAAGTAAAGCGCGCTGCTACAATGGATGGCTATGGTGGCTTTATTTCCCCTACAATAACAATACAAACAATTACACACAAGTACAAAGACACGGGACAGGAGGACGGACAGGGAACAAGGCCTGTGGAGTCGGCCGGTGCCAGCGGTCTGTCAAAGCAAAGAAGCAAAAAGGACCCGGAGCTTCCCTGATCCTCTAAACAGGGGGGGGCAATTATTTTTCCCAGGGGGCCAAATGAGAAACTGAAAATATTTTGGAGGGCAAAATCCTGAACTCAATTGTGCAGAATATACATTGTTTCTATATTAAAAGCAGTAAATGGCATTGTTTTCACCGCTGGTAAGAGTGCATGTTATTATTTGCCAAGTCAAAGGTGAGGTTACTTTCAAAAGTAGAATTTATTCAAATGTAATTTTCAAAATGTGAAACCATTTTCAGTCCCATAAATATCAAAAGGGCATTTTGAGTTTCATATACTATTGAAAAAAGGATTTTCTTCGCTTTCTAAAGACATCACATCATCAGTCCCAGTTTCGGAGCCTTTTTGACTTTACACGCCTGTATTAAAACATTTTCAGAACTGTGCAAAAAAAGAAAAGAAGCATATCAAGTGTCCCATTTCACTTGTTATATTCACACATTTTAGTGTCTTCAGTTCTTTTCTCATTCATGTGAGAAATCCAGTCTCTGTGGAGCTGCAACAAGTCCATCAAAGTCAGGTTGAATGTCTGAGGTGGAGATGTGAAGCACAGCTGACATCAGCGAGAGGATCTGTACCTGGATTTGGTAAACGTCATGACTGAGAATGTCTGTTCACATATGTAGGTGGATCCACGGAGAACCAACATCTTCTGAGCACGTCTCCTCCTGTTTGGAAAGTTCTCCTCGTTGAGAGCAGAGTAGAACTCTGGCAGTGATGCTGACTTAAAGTGCTCTTTCAGTAGTGAATCAGCCTGCAGGTCAGTGAGTTCAAGCTGAACATTAGTGGTAAAGGAGAGGAAACCAGCTGCATTTCAACCTTTTTGAAATCGCCTTAAATTCATCACGCAGTGCTCCTAACATGGACGAGTGCCGGTGATCAGATGATGGTTTGACTTCTTTCAGGGTTTTCACGTGTTTGACATTGTTGCTGCCCAGTTGCCTTGAAATGAATTGCAGCTTTGTCACGAAGGCTTTCACATGGATGTGCATTTCATGAGCAAAGAGGCCCTCGGCCTGCAGCTGTGTGTTCACTTCATTCATCACTGCAGTCACAGCAACAGCAAACGTTCAATCTGCCATCCGGTCCTTATCAGACAGCTCTGGGGTGGTTTTGTCTTCCATCTCACAAAACTCTTACCTCTGATTTCAGAAGTCAGAACCTTTTCAGCACTTTGCCCGGACTGAGCCATGTGGCAGCTGTGTGGTACCGGACATCAGCATGTTCGCTCTCCTGCTCCTCCGATAGTGAAACAAACTGCCTGTGGTTCAATGCTCCGCTGCCATGAAATCAACTGTTGTAGTAACAACAAGTTTAAGCGCTGACGGACACAACGCTTGCTGATGAACAACACAACGTATGAACACCAATTCCTGCTCTGCGGCGAGTTCACTCGCTTTATCTTTCATTCTTTCCAAAAGCCCAACATTCCTCCCAGTCAGATTTGGACATCCATCCGTGGTGACCCCTGCCAGTCTGTCCCATTGGCGTCCCGGTTTGTCCCTGCATGCGTTTGCCCCGGTGAACAGATCCGTCCCCGTCGTGGTTCCTTTCATTGGCCGCATTGCTGCCGGCTCCTCCGTAAGCTTGAAGTCGCTCGTCGTCCACCGGGGAGACTTGAGCAGCTGGGCCGCGTGACGGACGTCACGGCGCTCATCCAGAGCTTCACGCGTCACCTTGCAGCTGAAACTCCAGATTCCCCGCCATGTCCTCCACCCTCCTCGTCCCGGTGCGTTTCAAACGCTTCTTTTTCCTCTGGACTCGACCACGCACTCCTTCACAAACTGCCCCTCACAGAATGGCTTCGTGTTCTGGTTCTGGTCGCTGCATCTCTGGCTGCAGCTTTGTAAAACAGCCGTGTGGTTTTTCGAGCTTTGCTAGTAAATCCGTTGATCCGCGCTCGCTCGGCATCAGTCGAGTTTTTGTCTTTATCGCCATGTTCGGTCTCGTGAAGCCGTTTCAAATTGTACTCTTTAAACACGGCGACATGCTCCCCACAAAGCAAACACACAGGTTTACCTTTGACTTCAGCAAAGGAGGAAATAGTCCATCTTTGTTTGAAACAGAAGGTAGAGTTCAGGGGTGACCTGTCAATCACACGCATTTCACGTGCACAGTTGACGTGCACCGTGAGAATAAATGGCCTTCAAAATAAAAGCAATGCGCTTTTAGTTAGAAAATATGTTTCTTTTTCTACGTCATGTGGTCTTTCGCGGGCCGGTCAGAATCCTCCCGCGGGCCGTACGATGCCCAGGTCTGCTCTAAACCGACCTACCACGATCTGACCCATCACACCGCTTACCTCACTGCTACGACACACTGGGCGACAGCCGCTGGCTTCTAATCCAGTGTCTCTAACAGAGGCACCTACGGGTGCATGTAGACCCCAGGGTATCTGACCTGGTCCTGCTCCACAGCGCTCCTGGGGTAAGTACACACACACAGACCTGGGTGGACAATAGACCACCGTTTAACAAACAACATAAACCATATATTCTTTCAATGTCTCAGTCAATGTCACTCAATCTCTGCCAACACACAAGCCCCGCCCCCAAACAAACATTTTATAGAGCAGAGCTGGATTGGCTGGAGGAACAGCTGGCCACGCCCACATCGTCAGCAGCAACTCACCACACCTGTGAAGAACAGACTGGAAACAAAGACATGGGGGAGGAGACACCCAGACCCCCACCCAGACCCCCCCCCCTGAGACCCCAGACACACACACACACACACCCACACACACACACACCCGCACACACACAAGACCCACACCACCGCAAACGCACGCCCCGAGTCCCGTTGGTCTCGCGTTGCCTCTTTCTGCTCCTTATAGACCCAGCATTTAGACCGATATATCTCGATTTCAATAAGTCATTCATGAGGATTT